CACGAATGTCATGCACCGGGCCTCTAGTGATATAATAGAAAGCAAAGTCCATCCTGACAAGGTTCTAGTTTAACCTCTTCTCTCAAACAAAGAAAACAAGAAAATACAATATATCCTGTAAATTCTGTTACTTAAGGATCTTTTTGAGTGTTGCTACTATTTCCCCCCTATTTTTCCTTATCCATTTTTAAAATTGTCAAATATTTCACAAACATATAAATGTATTCAGGTTAATATAAAGAACATCTTTGTGCTGATCACCAAAATTGATCAAATCTTAATATTTTCCCCATATTTACTTCTTGTATTTTTTCGATTGATTTAATTCACAAACTTAAAAGCCACTGAGCATTTCCTAGCTCCTCCCCGAATTTCTCTTGTCCCCTACAGGTAACCACTGTGGCTAATTTCCTATCTATCTTCTCCAATGTTTTCGGATGCAAATTCAATCAAATATGAACATATAATCTTATTTTACCCCTTTCACAAAAGGAACTAAATGTGGTGTAACACCCTTGTTTTTTAAGAACTTAACAATACATACTGTCGAACATTCTATCTCAGTACTTACAAAGCTTCCTCACATCTTTTTTTTTCATTTAGCTTCCTCATGGTATCCTATCTACTGTGTGCATATATCATGTTCATTTAACCAGACCCTTTTTGTAGATGCTTTCTGATGTCTAATGTTTTGCTATTGCAAATAATGCTTCAATGAACAACCATGTCCGTACACTGTCTTCTATTTATGCTAACATATCTGCAGAAACTCCTAGAAGTGGAATTGCTGGCTCAAAGTAAAATGAACTTGAAATTTTGATAATTATTTGTAAACTGGAGGCCCGGTGCACAAAATTCATGCACAGGTAGGGTCTCTAGGCCTGGCCAGTGATCAGGGCCAATCAGGGCCTTCTGGCTGCTAGCCAGGGCCTCTCTTCCCTGGCTGCCAGCTGCCAGCTGGGGCCTTCCTTCATTCCATGCCGCCCCCTGGTGGTCAGCACATGTCACAGCGAGTGATCGGGCTCCCGGTTGAATCCAGTGGGGAAAATTTGCATATTAGGCTTTTATAAATATAGATGGCCCCTTTCACACTTTAAATAGGAAACAAACTCAGTATCAACAATTAAATGTCACTTTACAGGTAATTTGGGTAAGATTATAATTACATCATTGTTAGTATAGAAGAATAGCTGATTCCTATTTGAACAACAATGACTTTTTGGCATTTTCTGTTTAGAGGAAAATGATAGGCCCTAAATACTGATGAAGATGATAATATACAGCAATTGAAAACTATGCGCAAGTCAAATTACACTGAGCTGCACTCATAACATTGTTTCATTGCAGATCCAGAAGGAACTCTGGAATAAAAGCCATCCCATAGAAAAATCTGAGATACGTTTTCTACAGGTTCAGGGGAAACAGAAAAGCTCTAAAGAATTTTTAAAGAGTTGAAAAAGCCTATCACCTCCCCTCGCGCCCCCCCCCCCAAAAAAAAACAGTTGTAACTGTCCCTTAACACATAGTTGGCAAAGACATTGTTTTGAGAAATCCTTTTGCCCTTTACAGCACCCCTCACCTTAGTTTCTATGGCTTCTGAGGCTATACTGCAGATTTTTTGGATTCACAGAAAAATCTAACAAGCAAATTCTTTCAAGGCTTTTATAATTACCTCAATAATATATCTGTGTCTTTAAAAAGTGGCTCAGCCCTAGCCAGTTTGGCTCAGTAGATAGAGCATTGCCCTGTGGACTGAAGGGTCCCAGGTTTGATTCTGGTCAAGGGCACATGCCTGGGTTGTGGGCTCGATACCCAGTGTGGGGCGTGCAGGAGGCAGCCAGTCAATGATTCTCTCTCATCATTGATGTTTCTATCTCTCTTCTCCTCTGAAATCAATAAAAATCACAGTTCTTTCTGTAGAGTTCTTTTTAAATGTCACATCCCAATAATGTGCCCTGGGGACTTGTGGCTTTGACAATGGACTCACAAGGAAGAGTGAAGTCTGCTACCAGCATAAGACTCTAACATCTAAAATCAGCATAAAAGGTAAAACAAAAAAACCAACCCCACACCTTTTCTATTAAGATACTTTACCCCATTCCTCCATACCTGTCCCAACATTCTTTCACTATTTATTTCCTTACCATCCTCCGTTTTGAAATATTATTTAAAGATTAAACTTTATTGATAACCACACCAGACTATTACTGTGAAAGAGAAGGACCAACAATGGGGGTGCGTGTCTTACTTCATCACCAGAAGGTGATGATGTTGAAATGTTCTTTTTCTCAACATTCCCCTTTCAACCCTCCTCCCCTCAACTCTGCCACACACACAGGGACAGTCAGCTCTCCTTCCCACACGTCAGCGTTTGCGTATAAGTCATGGCAGAAGCTAATACCCGCACTGTAATGCCTTTGATCTATAACAGCACTTGTCTTTGTCTTTCACTGACTTTCAAACTCCATTACGACAGAATAGCACAGTGTAAATGAACAGCGTCAACGCCATCAATAAATAACTTTGCGTTCTCAACTCTCAGATTGGAGCCAGGCATTTTATATGTTGGAGGAAAGAGGGGACTGGCTTCTGCTGATTTCTTCAGGTATCAGATATTATGATTTTAGAATATTTTCTCTACTACTTCTCTGTGCCATCGAATATGTCGCGAGAGAGCTTGGACAGGAGAAATCACTTCCCTGTTGGCTTATTACCTTTCCCACACAGACGCAGGCAGACACCCGTAAATCTCCTGGATCTCAGAAAGGGTCAGTCAGAGAGTTGCAGAGAAACTGGAAATATTGTGTGTGCCCCTGAATCACTGCCTTTTTTTAAAGGTAAAGTTGCTCTGGGTCCCCCCAGAGGACCCCTGTTGGACAAATGGGGCGTGGCTCAGCAGGGCACTGCAAAAAGTGCGCATGGCTCTTGCCTTCCACTTAGTGGGCTGCGGGGCTGAGGGAAACCCTGCACTGGCTGCAAACACATCTTCATGTACAAGCCCACAGAATTCTGTGCTTTTAGGGTTTGAAGAAGTCCAAACACCAACAAAGATATTTCGAAATCAAGCTAATTCATTTTTATTTCACTGCCAAAACAAAAGGGTTTTCGTGTGAGGCAGAAGGCTAACATTTATGTAGTGATTTTTTCCTCCCAAACACTACTCCATTAAACAAAACAAATAAATGCCCCTAAACCTCCAAGACTAAAGAAACTCAATTCTCTTTCAGAGTAAATTGGATGCATTATATTGTTTTTCTTTCTCATTTAGAGGAAGAGGCCGCAAATAAAAAATTAAAGGCAACAACAGAGAAAAGAACAGAAAGCATTAATTTTAGACAAAACTCTGAAACAATGGTCTAAAGAAGAAGCTATACTTAAAAATCATACTGGAGCCGAAACCGGTTTGGCTCAGCGGATAGAGCGTTGGCCTGCGGACTGAAGGGTCCCAGGTTCGATCCCGGTCAAGGGCATGTACCTGGGTTGCGGGCACATCCGCGGTGGGAGATGTGCAGGAGGCGGCTGATCGATGTTTCTCTCTCATTGATGTTTCTCTCTATCTCTCTTCCTTCCTCTCTGTAAAAACTCAATAAAATATATATTTAAAAAAAATCATACTGGAAAAGAACTATTCATTAAAAATAAAGCTTTCAAGTAATATTGGAACCTGAATAAAAGAACAGTGAAGGTTTGTAAGGCAGAGAAGCTGAAAACTTTAAGAATACTTGCTCCAACTCCTTACCTACCAATACGTCCATGTTAAATCTTACAACAAGAAGTTTAACTCCACCAACACTCACTCATAACCTGCCACTGCTGGGGAGAAAATAATAAAATTCAGAAGAATGCTCTCTGTTACTTTCAAATGAAAGAATGCCAAATAAAACTTAATAACCAGCCCTGTGACCCCTCTCTCTATATATGAGTTTTATAAGGAGTTCATATATTTTCTTTTTTACCCTTTACAAGGTATAATAATAATAATAATAATAATAATAATAAAATGAGTGCCCATAATAATAAAATAAATATTCATGTCACCTTGAGATCTAGAACATTACCATGACTGTTGTAGCCACCTGTTCCTTAAATAAAAGGCATCCTTAGAGGCATTGGCCTTAAGCATAACTCTGAACAAAAATTTTGAATTAAGATGATAAGGATAAAAGCTGAACTTTGTGAATAAAGGAAAAGATAATCAAGAATTTAAACCTTTAACTAGAACGGGGTTAAAGAATGTAAGCCTGGCATCCTCAATCAACACTTTTCATGTAAACTCGAGGGTGCCTGAGAAGACTGTACGTTTTCTTTAAAACTGAGAATATGTTCACAGGTTTCATTTCTTTATGCAAATGTTGGCAAGGAGAATAGAGAACTTGACTACTACGACATAGATAAGTAGCCTTTCCCTGTGAGAAACAGAAACGCTCTGAAATCCCCTGGGGAAATGGGGAAGTAAATCCGTGGAGTACACAATACAAAGCAATTGCTAATTGGAAGGAGATTAAAAGGCATTCTAGCCCTGGTTGGGTAGCTCAGTTGGTTAGAACGTCATCCTGCTACACCAAGGTTGTGGGTTTGATCCCTGGTCATGACATTACAAGAACCAACCAATAAATTCATAAGTAAATGGATTAACAAATTGGTGTTTCTCACTCTCCCCCTTCTTCTCTGTCTCTAAAATCAATCAACAGAAATAAATACATAAAAGCCACTCTAAACAGACACATCATAAAAAAATACAGCGACAGTATATGTGGGAGAGAGAATGGTTGAAAACCCACCCCCCTCCAGAAATATTAATAGTACACTGGCTTACATGAGATACTCAAATAATTTTCATGACAATTTAGAGAAATGGGCTTACACTTAACATAAGGTTGGCTATTTTTCTTTATAAACAGATATAGCACAACATCAGACAGACACCTGTGACAGGCTTGTCCATTGAGAATCCTGCAATGAAAGAACTAACTCTTATTCTAACCTAAGAGAGGCCTTACCTTGTGACAAACAGAAACATCCTAGATAGCAGCCCTCTGGCCACCTGAGTGTCATATTCAGGGTGGGTAAAAAGCCACTGTACCCCGTTCCTGCTCTCTCTGCTCCTCCCAGACAGCCTGAACTCGCCAAGCTTAGTGCAAGTGGGAGGGATCGCATGCCCAGTCACCTCTGTGAACGGGCCAATTAAAGTTCAGTTCCTGCTCTAGAAGAGGAAAGACAAATGGGGAGCAGCTGAGCAGGGCACCGGTGAGTAATTTTGCCTGAGAAGAACCAGCGTCTTAGCATGCAGCTTAAAAATGCCAGAATTCTATTTTGCGGGCAGGAAGAGGAGAGAAACAAGGAAAATCATCTGCTGATAGAAATTCATCAAACTAAAATCAGGAAGTTTCCTTGAATGATCGTCTCTGCTAAACCCACACCCTCCTCCACAAGCAAAAATGCCACTGTCTGCAAAAGGGAGTTAATTGCTTTAAGCTTCCCACAGTTTGGGAGGCTACTAAAGCAGGGGTTCCATACCAACGCCCACCAAGGCCTCCTAAGCCTCGAGTCCTGAGAACACGAAGTCAGTATCATCAGGGAGGCAGACTCATTGCCAAGAGAAGTGCAAAGTGCCGGCTGAACTAACCTTGCTGCTCACTGAGAGTGAATTAGGAGTCAAGCCCTGAGTTTCTAACATCCGTTCATCTTGATTTACTTGATGGAGTACAAAGCACGTCACCACATATGGGTAAATGCTTAATAATTAGGTGAGGCCATTATTAGAATGATGGCGGTGACTGGTGGTGGAAGGTGAAGGGATGAGAAGTTCGTGGAGGAAAGCACTGGCTTGGAAAATCTTGAGTTTTAAGCTAGAACATTTTGTCTCCTTTACCAACTCAGCAAACTATCCTAGCCTATGGCCTGATGCATCTGTTTAAGAAAAAGTTTCTGCTAAGGTAAGTTAGATCACTGGATTCCTACTAAATTAGTTATGAGAAAAGTTAGAGAAGGATGGGATTGGATCTGTGAGACTAGTAAGCCCTGGGCCAATAAGATCCTCTCTCTCTTTTAAATAACTTTAAAAAAAAATTGTATTGCTTTGAGAGAGGAGAGAGAGAGAGAGAGAGAGAGAGATCAATTTGTTGTTTCACTTATTTATGAAGCATTGGTTGTTTCTTGTATGTGCCCTGACTGGGGATTGAACCCACAACCTTGGTGTATTGGGCCAATGCTCTAACCAACTGAGCTTACCCAGCCAGGGCCTAAGATTCTCTGTCTTAAACTTGGTTGTCTGGCTGGCCCCTGTATACACCTGGGAAGGCAGGTTGTTCCTTTTGCTCTTTTCTTATAAATAAGTGAGAAATACTTCCTGGCTCCCCGCAACTGGACTTGGAATTGGCTCATGGGGTGACTCAAGCACTTTTTAATTCCAAGATCAATGTACAGGCTTCCATGACTTGTCACACCTGCTCAATGCCCACTTCTAACCTCCTACCCCAACATTTTAAGACCCTTAAATGATAAGCCCATCATGTCTGCTCTCTGTATGTGAATAAGACAGCAGCACCTTACCCCTTTCCATATTTCAAACCAGGATTTAGACCACAGCCAGGTTGAAAGAGCGCCCAATGACCAAATCTGGAACAATAAAGTAAGTAACAGCAGTACGGGATTATAACCCACAAAATGGCCGATATGTGAAGGAATCCTCACTGATATAAACAGCTGAATAAGTAAGTAAGTGGGGGAAAGTGACAGCGCTTCCTTACAGAAGAATTCCAATGAGTAAGTATAGATGGAAATATAGAATCATCTTTAGAGCATTCCAGTAAGAATGGTTGCAGACAATTCCACGGATGGATACTCAAATAAGTGGGAGAAAAGTTTGAGGAGAAGCAGGATATTTGCATAGCCTCAAAGTTATGTCTCCGAAGATATTTATTAATTACAAAGAGACAAATAACTAGAATGGAGAGACCTTACCCAAGTAATCAAGGTTAACACCACCAGTAATAAAATATACTGACACTAGATAATCTCTACTAGGACACACAAAGGAGGACATATCACTTCTGAGGTATTCTTGCCAAAAATGCATAACCTTAGTCTAATCATGGGACAATACCAGACAAATCCAAAGAGAAGACATTCTACAAAATAAGTGGCTCACATTCTTCAAATGTGTCAAGGTGATAAAAGGCAAGGAAAGACTGAGGAAATTATAGATTAGAGGAGACTAAGGAAACACGAGGATCAAACACAACGTTTACATGTTTATAATGCAAATTCACGTGTCCACGTGAGAGAATCCCCAACTGAAATCAGGGTTCTTGACATCAATAGTAACATCGGTTGAGTGCTATGACGTGCTGGGCACTGCCAGAAGTGCTTCATGTGTATTAGCACTTTCAATGCTTTCAGCAACACTATGATTAGTTATTAAACTCATTTTGCAGACTGGAAACTGTGAGAGCTTAATAAGGCACCTGCAGTTACACAGTAAGATAACCATATTACACTACGACCTGATATTTATTTTACGTAACATTTAGTTTCCATTTCCTATGAGTGGGCTCTGTGCTAAGTGCTTTGAATACCTGAACTCGTTGAATTGCCATGGTTATCCTATGAAATAGGTTCTGTTATGCAGGCTGTTGGGGCCATAAAGTATAGCGCCTATGAGCTCGGCCGAACGGTCTGAATTTGAACCCACCACCTCCTAGTAGAGTCCTAGTGCAAACCTCACAGGACTGGTATGATAATTTGATGTCATGTGCCAAGGCCTAGCACACCACCTAGCACGTAGGAGCACAGATAAGTAGCTGCAATTTTTTATTAGGCTAACTTAATAATCTCAGGACATTCTTCTATTAGAGATAAGAAGAGTTTTACATGAATATCAGCTCAAAGATGAATTAATCTTGCTGCACAATTTGACACACTGTGTCATTTCCAAAGTATAAAATGTTGGTATATTACTTTAAGTGATTTTCATTATAGTTTTAAAAACAATGGTGGATATATATTTTTAAAGTTTTTGAATCATATGATTTGAGGAACCCTGGATTATGTCCCAGGAATTTTTGGGCTCTCCAGAACCTAATTTGGAAACTGCCATTAAGATATTATCCTCGCCCTAACTGGTTTGGCTCAGTGGATAGAGCGTCGGCCGGCTGACTGAAGGGTCCCAGGTTCAATTCCAGCCAAGAGCATGTACCTTGGTTGCAGGCACATCCCCAGTAGGGGGAGTGCAGGAGGCAGCTGATCGATGTTTCTCTCTCATCGATGTTTCTAACTCTCTATCCCTCACCCTTCCTCTCTGTAAAAAATCAATAAAATATATTTTTTTAAAAAAGATGTTATCCTCTGAACTGTGAGCTTCTGGCCGTTTTGTTCAGCCTCTCCTTGCCACTCTCACAAGCCTATATTTTCACCAGCCTTGCCCCCAATTCCCTCTTCCAGTCCCTTTTCTGAACCACTTGGTACAGACCTCTGCGCCTCCTACCTGTGCTTCAGCCGAAGCTTAGCTCCTCCTGACCATGCTGCTTTCCTGTGCTGGGGGTCAGAGGTGAGGTGCTCTGGGCTGAAGGAGTCAGAGGTGCCAGTATCTGCAGGACCCGGTGCTGCACATGCATCTCTGGCAAAAAAAAAAAAAAAAATAGGAAACAGGAAGTTGAGCGTGATGGTGTTCGTGGGCAAGGGCACAAGTGAATCTAACAAGAAGCGTGCGTGAAAATCAACCCTGGAGTTAGAGCAAAACAACACAGCTAAGAGCAGTTATAAGCCTGCAGCCATTGAAGTTCTCTGCCCCAAAGCGGGCAAATCCACTTCTATGTTTCTGTGAAGCCCTGACATGCATTGCCAATCTCAGAATAACAGATTTTCCAACCCAGGGGGACGGAAGATACACTAGCTATGATGAAGGTGAACTCCCCTATTATTCAGCATCCATTGGCAAGTGAACTCACTGAAGCCAAGGGTCAGACAGGTGGTTTCCTGAGACCACACCCCGCTGCCTCACCTCTCAGGAGAACATCTGCATGTGGAGCAGCCCTTCTCTGTTCAGCGGGTGGCAGCTCACAGCACACGCCAGCTCCTGAGCCCCAGCTATTTCAGATTGCTTGGATTCCACTGCCCTGCAGGCAAGCCTCGTGTGTGTCCATTTAAATCTGCCCCCCATCCCCTGGTTCCCTAACACCATCCCCATAACTTGTTCCTCCTTACTCCCAGGGAGTCAGAGAAAAATGTTAAGCCCCATGTGGCCAACGCATTGTGCCATGGGAACGGGCATATTTCTCCTTAGGAGAGTCCTGGCTGTGGAATTTCCAAATGCCCCGACCACACCCCTAAGGCCTCCCCTGATCCGACGGCCTCAGGACAGACTGGAATCAGCCAAGGCTGCCACGCTTTGATCTCATCAGAAAATGGCGCTACAAGGGTACCACGTGACTGGGGCAGGTCAGTCAAGCCTTTCTTTTAAAGCTGTGTGTACTTTCCCCTATGTCAAGTTATTCTCATAACTTTTCTAGAAGAACTAATATTTTAGCCCTCTTTTAATATTTTAGCCCTATTTCCCAGGTGAACAAACGGAGACACTGAGAGGAGGTATATATCCTGGCCAAACCACACATGGAATCATACTCATTATGAAAATCACTGACAACCTTCTTCGTCTTCCCAGTTTAGTAATTTCACATTATGTCACAAATTCTGAAGGCCTTGGGATCACTAACCCAGATTTGGACAGAATAGGTAGCGAAGGGTGATGATGGAGCCATTCATTAAACATGTTACCAAATGAGCTTATTTTTACTTAAAAGATACTCAAAGCTACAGTGTTTTTACTTAACCAGTTAACCCCTTCCCCGGCAGAAACGTGTATACTCGTTTTCACAAAATGTTCTTTTTCAGTCGTCGATGAGTATACTAAGAAAATATGGTAAAAAAATATGGTTTGTAGGAAGACGAGTTACAAACTGTTTTCATAACCAGCATCAAAAATACTATATAGAACCAAAATTAAAAAATTAGTCTGAAAAAGAAACGTTTTTAACAAAAAAATTGTTGGGGAAGGGGTTAACTACCCCGATATTTTGAAT